TGGCAAACTAGGGTTAAGAGTGAATTCAAAAAAGTTCAGGCTAATCCCCTCCCAGCAAGCATCCTTTATTGGAGCCTGTTTGGATTCAGCTGTAGCACACATGTTCTTACCAAGAGACAAGTCCATGTTAATTAGGACTCTAGCTAGCCATTTTATAGCTAGCAGATTTCAGAGGACAATTGACATCGAAATACTATTGGGTTTAAAGGCTTCTACCACATTTGTAGTCCCATTTGCTAGACGAATGAGACCTTTACAAAACTGGTTCATCAGACAGTTCGGTCAGGCTATTCACCTCCAGACCTGAGGTTTTTCAATCCTTAGCTAAGTGCTAAGGTCCTTACAGTGGTGGACCAATGAAGCCAACTTACTGCCCAGTTCTGTTCTCTACAGTTCATAGTTCTGTTCTTTGGGGTCTGTTCTCTATAGATCACTATAATAACTGATGCCTCCCTTTCAGGTTCGGGGGCTCATTGTGGTAGGTGTGGAATACTTGGTCTGAAAATGACATAGGCCTACATATTAATATTTTGGAATTGAGAGCTATCCATTTTGCCCTTTACTCTTTCGCAGATCTGCTACAAGAGAACCTGCTGCAGATACAAACAGACAATACTACGGCCATGTTCTACATCAACAAGGAGGGGGGGAGCGAACATCCTCCCTCCCGCTGTACCGCAAAGCCACTGCCATTTGGGAATGGGCAATTGCCCTACAGGCGATTCATATTGTGGGTTCAGAGAATGTTACAGCAGACCTGCTCAGGAGATTGGGGGAACCTACACACAAGTCCACACAGCAGGAGTACATTTCCCCTTTTTTAACTCTATGGGGATTCACAACCATGGACTTATTTGCCACAAGGTTCAACACCAAGGCCCCTCTTTTTTGTTCTTAAGACGGCCTAGACCCACTCTCTCCATAGGGGATGCATTTCAGCCGGATCTGAACCTTGTTCTACGCCTCCCCCCCCCACTACCTCTGTCAAAAAGAGTGGTAGCCAACTTAATCAAAGACCTTTGTATTCTGATCGCCCCTTTTTGACTGAGGCAGATTTGGTTTCAGGCCATACTACTCAAGTCAAAGGGTGTATATGCCCGCCTACCTCTAGCTCTGGACCTTCTGTCTGTGCAAGGTGTTTCTCACACGAAGTTGGAAACGTTACACCTAACAGCTTGGTTGCTCACCCACGTGAACAATCTGGTTCAGAGTCAGTAAAATTAGTGCTTCTTAACTACGTTTAGTCATGCCGGCCACATGACCATGGAGAAGTCTTCGGACAGCGCTGGCTCTTTGGCTTGGAATCGGAGATGAGCACCGCAACCCAAGAGTCGGATTCGACTGGCTTTCGAGCAAAGGAAACCTTTTAAAATCCAAAATGGGGCATATGCCCCCATCTTTTTTATTGATTAAGAAAGACCTTGAATATTAACCCAACGTAGAATCTTCTGCAGGTACAACCTGACCTGCACCTTTTTCTAATAGGGCCTTAATTTCTAAATGTAACTCCAGGAAAACATTATCAACAGCCTGTTCAAGAACCATTAACAGCGGCAACTCTGTGAACTGAAGGTGATAACCATGTTGAACAATACCCAGAACCCTGGAGCCTAGGGTAACAATATGCCATTCTGTGACCTCTGTTGAGCCTGCTGGTTTGGGTGGGCAGACCCTCATTGTTGAGGGATACTGGTATGCAGAATGTTGGTATGAGCAGTGAAAGGCCCAGTAAGGCAGATGAAACCTTTGCTGGAAC